TTTTTGAAGTTGCTGACCTAAATATTTTCATAAGCGTTTTAGAAATTGCGGAGCTAATTTTTGGGTTAGCGCTGCCCACCACTGCTTCAGAGCATAACGTGCAGAGTAAATTATACCATTCATGAAATTACAAACATATATTTATATTCTACATGTCAACGAAAACAGGAGCCAGTGTCCAACTGAATGAATGAACTTGTGAAACTCACACTTTAGGTATAAAACAGAAGCCCAATATCTGTAACATTAAATTTAAATTAAATTACTGTAGAAGTTAGAAAGATGGGTCCAACATGCWGAGTTTTTGGAGACAAATCAGAACAATCTAGAATGTCGCTAGTCGCTTCTTGGAAAAAAGTCATTATAGGGGTCTGAAAACTCGCTAAATTTAGCGACAAAGTCACTAAGTTGGCAACAGTGCATGCGGGTGACGGTCATTGCTCTCATTGGACAGAAATGATGGGGGCAGGAGAGAGCACAAGAGCAGCGAGAGCAGCTCATTTAACGGCGGTTTCACAATAATATATTTCTAATTTTGGGACGGTGTTGGCAAATGCACSCCGCAGCCCAAAGGAGACGAGATGCTCCACGTTCCCTGACCCACATTGGCTCATTGTTTGTAGCGCAGTAGTAGTGTTTGCAACACTGAAGGGCTAATTGTTASCATGTTGTTTAGCAACGGTGGRTTGAGAAGTCTAAAAAGGTTGTTTCCTGTAGTTGGTTGGGTTCGTGGCTGGTCTGTATTCACACCAGAAGCGAACCGCACCAGAGTTTGGAAGTGGACCAAGACCACCTRTAAAYTATGTCTAGGTTAATGTCACGTTAACCAAAGTTATTCTTTAGTCTACAGCCTGCAGGGCAGGGAGTGTTACAGACCCTCATACAGGAGAGAAGCTGCTGTTTTGAGTTATTTGTACATTAGTTGTTGTTTTTTTTTTGCAGTTTAATTTCATATGACAATTTTCATGACAATTTTTGGTCAAATATACAAGGTGCCACTGCAGGGTGTCTGATGAGTCCGATTTTGAAGGGGCCAGCACTAAACAAATGAAAGTGGCTCTGACCATGTGGCTGCATGTGACTGTACTCACTTGTAGTCCTGTTTGCCCTGTGTGAAGAGGTCCAGGCTGTCTATTTCTGGAGTAGTGATGTCCAGAGAGGATTCCAAGCCTCCACTGCTGATCCAAGCACCCTGCAGACTGGTGTTGTACTGATGCAAGCGGCGCCACAGCTCATTGTAAAGTCGCAGCAATTTAGGATATTCTCCTTCAAAGGCCTGCTTTAGGAAGGAGGAGGCTACAGAGAGGCAAATAAGCAGAATAAACTGTGAAAAACCAAAAATAAATATATACATGTATTTATAAAATTCAAACAAAAACAGTGATCTGTGATCAGAGTATATAGTCGCATCCTCAGTATTAAAACAATTATTTTTCCTGTAGATTAAAAGATTTTAGGTTTAACGTCAAATAATGAGTAGCCGAACAGTTCTAACACACCACATCCTTCCCACGGCAGAAAACCTTTGCGCATCCTGATGACGCAACGTTCGTTGCTAAACAGACAAAACATAAATCTTCCTC